TGTTAGAAAGATTAATATGAATTTCAATGAGGTACACAGCTATCCTACTGTAGGGGGTAAAAAGTGTAAACGGAGGTACACAGCTATCCTACTGTAGGGGGCAAACAGTGTAAACGGAGGTACACAGCTATCCTACTGTAGGGGGTAAACAGTGTAAACGGAGGTACAAAGCATATCCTACTGTAGGGGGCAAACAGTGTTAACGGAGGTACAAATCTATCCTACTGTAAGGGGTAAACAGTGTAAACGGAGGTACAAAGCATATCCTACCGTAGGGGGCAAACAATGTAAACTGAGGTACAAAGCTATCCTACTGCCATACACAGTAAAAAAACAGCTATTTCAACTTAAACTTATTATTAAAGGAAGGGGGGGGGGTGGCGAATTGGCACGTGCCCGTTTCCTTCAGTTACGGCCCTGGCTTTGGAAACTGCTATTCTAAATTATTTTTCCAATATAACATTCCCCACGCATGTATATGCATTAAATATCCCATATCATAGCCTTGCATTAAAATTGGAAATGTGTTTTAAAAAATCTAAAAAATTAAAAATATTTACCAATTCCGTTGAAGCCAGAAAAGAGAACCATATTCTTTCTTCATTGGCCTCGTAGACAGAAATGACATAATTCCTCTCTATTTCTGGCTCTAAACAGTCCTCCAAACTCTCAGGACGGAATTAACGATTTGAAAAAAGTAGGAACACGTTCAGCTCTAGCTGTCACCTTTTACCGCAATTTGACCCCTCCATCATACGTTTTTCGATTTCAAGAAATTAGACCCCTATTTTCAATGGTTAGGTTGCAAGGGAGGGTTTAAAATAATTCAAAAAGTACGCCGGAAAGATGCTCAAAAAATATATTTTTCTACTTGGGACAAATATTTACATATGGCAGCATCATGTCACTACATTCATTTTTCAAGGCTTTTCAGATATAAAGATTTTAGCCCTGGAGCTTAATTAAAAAAAGGTTTTAACCATTTCTGATTTTTTGAAAACACCGACTGAAGGCTGTCTTTGTATAAACGTGTTAAATCATGTTTTTCACAAAATACGTAAGTTTCTTGCTAAATCTAAAATCAAAAAATTCTAAGCGATAAATTGGCTATTTCTCTGGCTATAGATATCTTTGAAAATTACGACTAATACCATTGAATAGCTTCCAGGAAACTACCCAAATAAGTGAACGGTCCCTTTTTAATGACCAGAATTGAATTATAAATGTATTAACTATCAGGGGATTGTTGAATGATTAGAGTTTTGACAACTATTTACATTTTCACGAACACGTTACCTTACTTACCACACCAACAGGGTTATCACAGCCTAAGGAAATATAAAAACAAGTTTACTCCAATGATTAATTTACATGATTTGAAAATCATTGAATTTTAAATATCAAATAACATCCTACAAAATATTTACATAACAGAATAACAAAGCCAGTATTTGCAGTCTGTAGTCTTGAAAGCCAGTATTTGCAGTATGTAGTCTTGAAAGCCAGTATTTGCAGTATGTAGTCTTGAAAGCCAGTATTTGCAGTATGTAGTCTTGAAAGCCAGTATTTGCAGTATGTAGTCTTGAAAGCCAGTATTTGCAGTATGTAGTCTTGAAAGCCAGTATTTGCAGTATGTAGTCTTGAAAGCCAGTATTTGCAGTATGTAGTCTTGAAAGCCAGTATTTGCAGTATGTAGTCTTGAAAGCCAGTATTTGCAGTATGTAGTCTTGAAAGCCAGTATTTGCAGTATGTAGTCTTGAAAGCCAGTATTTGCNTAGTAAATTCTACTCTAATATATATTCTATTCTCTTTGATTTTATGTTCAATTATTGGACTATTTAAGAGATGCAAAAAGTAAGCGAAGGTCTATTCTACATTTATGTGTTTCACTGTATACTTAATATAAACAGCGAAGACTTATAGCAAACGTTTTAACATTTTATATTTATTTACACAATTTCACAGTCTTAGAGTTAAATAATATTATTTAATAAGATTATTTTTTGTATTAGTTGTTGTTCTGATGGTTCTGGTTGGTGAACTGATGAGGGCTGTTCTGTGCTTGCTGTTTAAAGAATCCACTGTGAGGCTGTTCTTGCTCCTCCTCTGCCTGATACTCTTGCTCCTGTTCATATTCCTGCTCCTGCTCCTGCTCACCCTCATTATAGTTTAGGGACTCAAAGTTATCTTCAGTGTAATACAAGGTTGTTTCTTCAACTTGTCTGTCCTGGCTGAACTGGTTCTGATTGAACTGTTGGTTCTGATTGAACTGCTGGTTCTGATTGAACTGCTGGTTCTGATTGAACTGCTGGTTCTGATTGAACTGCTCCTCTTCCTGGTCTTCGTATACGTCCTGCTGTCCGGCAAACACTGGGTTAACTTGTCTGTACTGCCGGGTGATTGTGCTAGCGGAATGAGGGTCAACTTTATCTTCGTTGGAGGTTTTGTCTCCGAATTTATCTGTTGCGGTGTTTGACTGGACTCTTTTGTTCACCGTAGTGCTGTGAGGCCAGGAATCTTGATCTTCGTCAGACTCTTCCTCAGAGTTGTTTTCGAAGTTATCTTGGGAGTGTTCCTCCACCGTCTCCTCTCTCCACTGCTCAACAAGGGCAGGCTTCTCATTTTTATTTTCTTCAATGCCTAGCTCCTCCTCCTCCTCCACATCCTCATCCTCTTCAGCATAGACTTCCGTGGTGGTCTCAGCAGACTGTTCGTTGTCTCTGTTCTGGATCTGGTTCTGACGAACACGGTTCTGATTTGGGACAAAGCCAGTGTTCCTCTAAATATTGTTTTATTTTAAATTAAAATTAAAAAAATAGCTATTTTAGCTCCGCTTTCAATTAAAATTTTTTTTCTTGGCTTATAGGAACTGATTTCTCGCCCTAAAATCTTATTTTCTCATATCAACATCTTTGCAACCTGGTGTCATTCAACTTTGATATTCCAAACTATGAATTCTACTATCGAAATTTGAAATATCAAAGATTTACACCATCAGGTTAAGCAAAGGTTTGCTAATAGATGGACTTAATAGCAAATTTTCAGTTCCTCTATTGAGTATTTGAAGAAGAAAAACTATTTAAAAAAATGGTTTTACCTCGATAGGGGAGGAAAACACCCCGGCAACCAACACTGCAAGGAAAAGAGAAAACAACAGTTTCATTCTAAAAAAATTATGATTAAAAAACATTGCAGCAAATTGATTCTTGCTATGTATAAAGCATTCAAAACCTATGTAAAATAAACGATGAAAATGTTGTAAAAAAACAAAAACTAAGAAAGAATTTAAAGTTTAAAAGTAAAAATATGTCCAGCAAAAATAGCAAATAGTTTTATTATCACATTCGAAACTCCAACTATATTGAAATAGTACAGCAAATATGTTAAAAAATAATATATCTAAAAGTACCTGATGATTTTGGAAGAATAAACTTTTCCGCCCAAGACCTTTCTTATATACGTATAAACCGGGACTTTCAGGGGTTAACATTTTTTAAAAATTCAAAAATAAAAATGTCACTCTTTTTTTTAACCGTTAATATCTTCGAAAGAAAAATTATTTTAATTTTTTTAGTTTATTAATAATTTAGGCCCCTGACGACCGTTTTGAGAAATTACAAAGAGCGAGGGGTGCGCGTTTCAAAGATCGCGCGAGCGTGGGGGGGCAGGGAGGAGGGCTGCTCTTATCAGATAGACAGTTTCATACTCAAAGCTAAAGAAAGGTCCATTCAGGGGTACCCCAAGTACAATTGTATTGTTCTGTTCAGGGGTACCCCAAGTACAATTGTATTGTTCTTTCCTCTTCATGGGTCTCCCAAGTACAATTGTATTGTTCTTTCCTGTTCATGGGTCCCCCCAGTACAATTGTATTGTTCTGTTCATGGGTCCCCCCAGTACAATTGTATTGTTTTGTTCAGGGGTCCCCCAATACAATTGTATTGTTCTGTTCATGGGTCCCCCCAGTACAATTGTATTGTTCTGTTCATGGGTCCCCCCAGTACAATTGTATTGTTCTGTTCATGGGTCCCCCCAGTACAATTGTATTGTTCTGTTCATGGGTCCCCCCAGTACAATTGTATTGTTCTGTTCATGGGTCCCCCCAGTACAATTGTATTGTTCTGTTCATGGGTCCCCCCAGTACAATTGTATTGTTCTGTTCATGGGTCCCCCCAGTACAATTGTATTGTTCTGTTCATGGGTCCCCCCAGTACAATTGTATTGTTCTGTTCATGGGTCCCCCCAGTACAATTGTATTGTTCTGTTCATGGGTCCCCCCAGTACAATTGTATTGTTCTGTTCATGGGTCCCCCCAGTACAATTGTATTGTTCTGTTCATGGGTCCCCCCAGTACAATTGTATTGTTCTGTTCATGGGTCCCCCCAGTACAATTGTATTGTTCTGTTCATGGGTCCCCCCAGTACAATTGTATTGTTCTGTTCATGGGTCCCCCCAGTACAATTGTATTGTTCTGTTCATGGGTCCCCCCAGTACAATTGTATTGTTCTGTTCATGGGTCCCCCCAGTACAATTGTATTGTTCTGTTCATGGGTCCCCCCAGTACAATTGTATTGTTCTGTTCATGGGTCCCCCCAGTACAATTGTATTGTTCTGTTNCGTTAACAGTCTCTTGAAAGTACGTTAACAGTCTCTTGAAAGTACGTTAACAGTCTCTTGAAAGTACGTTAACAGTCTCTTGAAAGTACGTTAACAGTCTCATTGTTTCTTTGATTATGAAAATTTTTAAGTCATAACTTTTGTGTTAATGTAAGTTTTGGAAGCATGCATTGCTCTCCGTCTTTAAAAGTGCCCATATCGGAACAAAAAAACTACAAAACATATCTTATAAAAGGGAGATCGAAAACGATCTTTATTTCACTGTTTTATTGTTCTCCTTCTGTAAATAAATACCGGGTTGCCCACAAAAGATGATACTTCAATGACTAAAACTCTTTAATATATCTCTCTGGAGGTAAATATTGGTTTAATGCCTTGATTACAGTCTTCTAATGACATATAAATGGTTTGGAAAAAAAGAAACAAGTTCCCAGCGGCTGGACTTTAGGAAACTATAAACCTAAGAATGACGACTGAATTGATTTCGTTCAATCGTCTCTGAAGTCTAAACCGTTGTGTACCGGTAACCCTGTATAGTGAATATATTTTTTACCTAGTAATACTTGAATATATCTTAAACTGTTGTTGAATTAGAGACACAAACTCCTGTCTTGCCACCTGGGTTTTGTACATTTCCTGTAAAGAAAAAGATACAGTGTGTTTCACTAAAAATATGAGTTAAAAGGGAATGCCCGTGTAATTAGGCAGTCCCTTTAAACCTCTTTCTGATCAATACTGTGGAAGATATATTCGTTTTTATTTTTGAAAATTGTTGAATTCTGACAAAGAGAAAGTTATGGATATTTAGGCAAAGGGAAGCCTTGTGAAGTGTACATGTCACTCAACACAAGTAAAAGTAAAATAATATGACTTGAATTTAACAACCTGTAATTAACCCTGCAGCTCATCAAGTAATCTTTGTCTTTGTATTGTTGACTTCATTTTTCAGAAGTTTACTTCCAGTAAAATGTTATTTTTAAAATAATTTATAAAAAAGGAATGATTTAAAATAATTTATATCAAAAGCTAAATTTTAGAAATAATTTATATAAAACCAATGAATTAGAGAAATCACAGTTATCTCTCTACTCTACACTACACATGTATGAACATAAAATTGTTTTTAAATGTGTGAAATCTAGGGTCATTGCACTCCACACTCACAGGCATAAGGCAGTAAGCCTGTATATTGGCCTGTATGCCTGAATCATGATGTGAAAGTTAATTGGTTTCTCAAAATCAACGATCTATAAAATTATCATAAATCTATTTTTTAACAATCTGTATCTAAATAATATATTTAATAACTAAATTGTAAACATTTCTATAGAAGCATGATGACAGACCCTCCTCCCTCTCAAGAAAATCAATAAAAATACTCACATATTCTAACAGAGATTGCAAACAGTGATATCCATAATAGTGTTTGCGTCTTTTAATATAATTATCCATTTATTGTGTCACCCGGGACTAACTATAGAGTGAGAAGCATTCGGTTTCTTTTATTTGAGATCAAACGTATTTTGGTCTATATCTCAACAACCTTTAAACTTACTGATCCGTTTATTTTATACTTTTTCATTTAAAGCGTATATGCCATCAAAAAAGTATCTAAGGCTAAACAATAATGTAAAAGGGTTCAAATTGTGATCGAAATTCACAGCTTTCTGAAATGTTGCCAGAAACGTTAAATTCACGTGGTGTATTGTGTTACATTTATGTCTATTTTTTTATTTGATCAAAGGTAAGAATTAATTAATGGAGAAAAGTAAATAATTCACTCTGATCAGTAGATCCGACTTCAGGGCATTTTTTTCGAAGATTTTACAAATTACAAAATTGCTTGCGGCATTAAACAAAACAAAGTCGACAAAAATGAATCGTTCAATCATTTATCCCTGTTTGAGTATTCTAACCATATCAAAATAAAAGAACAATCCCATTATATGACTTTATCTGGTTGTATTTTTATAAATGTACCAGATTTATCTGGATATTCTTAGGCTTGAGCCCTCCCTATCTTATATAGACGCCAGAAACGGTTTTGGTCAAGGTTGTATATCGAGGGCAGGAAGACTAGTTAAATCCGAGCCACATTCAACGCATTTTTTTAATACGAGCCACATTCTTGTTCATCCTTATAGTTTTAGTCTTCCAAAATGTGAGAAACTTAAGAAAGTAACTTTTTTCTTAAAGCTACAGTTTCATTTAGAGAAAAATGATAAAAGATTTTTCACTTTTTTCAATATTAAATTTAGATTAAATCGTCAACGAATGTCAAAATAAAAATTTTCCTTGAAATGAAAAACATTATATTGCAAGAAACTCTTGAATATAAAGACGACTTTTATTCAGAAGTTTTGACTGTAAATAGTGTAATAAATTAAAGATACAGCAATGTATAAGATATAAGTGATAAATAGTTGCACCCCCTGCCCCAAAAAATATAATGAACACTGATCATAAATTTAAGATTTATCAAACAAATATTGCCAAAAATTGAAAAAAAATAGGGCATTTTCCAAAATTTAGATTTTTAAGAATATGTTTTGATATCGTGAAAAATTTTAGATTTTTATAAACATTTTTTTAAATCTCACAAAAATTTTAAAAAATTAAAAATTAAAAAAAGTTTTTAAAAAACTATTCACTTCTCCGTACATAAAAAGAACCTGCCAAATCTTTCCCTGGGATGTTTAGAAAGATGAAAATTTCCCTGTATGATAATTGAACGACGACAGTGTGGTTTTGGTGAATTATATTTACGTACTGAGCAAAGGGGTGTTTGAAACATTTTTTGCATTTTTTTGAAAACGTCCCATAAACCTAATGAAGTTTAATTTTGATAAAACTTTTTGGTTCTGGGTGCACATATTTATAGAAAACTTAAACCGACATGTTTTTTCTAAATTCACTTAGTTAAGAGTTTAAGTCAAAATAATTATTGATAATTATTGCTTTATATCGAGTAGATATCATTAAACATGCCGATGTAAACCTTTCAGAAAGTGGAAAGATTCTGCAGAAAAAGTTGCCAAACCGAACAGAATTTTTGTAATGAACATGTATTCCCAAGTACCACCCTGTAGCCCCAGTAACCACAAGTTCTCCATATCACCCTCTGGTACCCCACTGTACCCCTCAATCACTTTCAAAAAAAAGATTTGGGAATTACAAGTTGGTGTTTTTGCAATCCCTTCCTCCAATGTATCATCAGCTGTATAGTTTTAGACCATCAAACAGAAACTCTCTTTATATCTGTTTTACACAAATGAAAATAAAGCAAAACTCGAGTAAAGTGCAACCAAGAAAAGCTTCTATATAAGTTCTAAATATTTTTGTTAAGAATAAAAATTTTATTTGGGTTGGCACCTTTTTTCTGCAGAATCTTTCCTACTTTCTGAAAGGTTTTACATCGGTATGTTTAAGGATATATACTCGATATAAAGCAATATTTATCAATACATATTTTGGTTCAAACTTTTAAATAAATGAATTAAAAAAATATAGAAAAAATATGCCGGTTTAAGAAAGTATTAGATAAATATTTGCAATCATCCAGAACAAAAAGTTTTCTCAACAATTAAACTTTATAAGTTTTATAGGAGTTTTTTAAAAATGTGTAAAAAAATAATTTTTAGGCTTAGTACGCCACTATAATTCACCAAAACCATACTGCAGTCCTTCATGATATTGTACAATACTGCACAGTTAAAATATTATTGATTTTAGTATAGGATTAGGGTGTAAGGCTTGAAAAAGAAAAATGTTGTAAAATGATCAGCTTCCATTCAAAATGCATTTTCGCACACACGTCCCAGTATGATTGTTTGATGTACAGGGTGTCCCACGAAACATGACAATTGTTGAATAGTTTTGAATGTCTTTTTCTATCAAAAGACATTTTGCAGGATATTTCGTTCAAGAAATCTTTTACTTAAATATTTTAATTTGATATTAATTTTGCTATAATTTGACTGCCATAAAATACTATTTTAGTATCAAGCAACTTAACAAATTATAGAAGAAGACATTTGAAACTATTCACCAACTGTCATGTTTCGTGGGACACCCTGTAGATTCCTGTTAGTCAAATAGTTTGATGCAGAATTTCTTAGATTTCTGAATATCTAGCTCTCATCTAGCTTCTCTCTTTTCTTCGCCTTTAGTTGTGAGAGCCTGGGGGGCAATTGCTTATAAAACACTTAATATGGTTAACTTTTTCTAACTTTTTCTTCTTCTTATTTTTAAAGGTACTAGGCTTTTAGGGCGCTTGACGCCCATCTTCTATTAAAATTATGAACATGTTCTTTTTGTTTACATTTTAAAACAAAGAAGAAAATTTTTTTGCGGATTTAAAAAAAAATTCGCGGATTTTCAAGAATTTTTTTTTTACAAAATTAAAAACCTTTAAAACACATTTTTTAAAATTTTTATCATTCATAAACATAGAGAATAGAATATATAGAGAGGAATTAAAAGAATCTCTCGGTATGAATTTTTTCAGTCCCTTTCAGCCTGAAAGGGAGTTCAAAGCGTACAAATCATGTAAATGTTCACAAATTATATGCAGTAGAGTACATAAATACAGTATGTTTCCTAGACTATTCATTTCAATTTCGAAAATTTTAAAGCTGTTAAATAAACTTTGTAATGAATTAGGTGAATATAAAAACATCATTTCATTTATAGTCATAACGGAAAATCATCGTTTGTACAATGGAAGGCATAGAGTCTATGTGAAATGATCATTGGTCAATTATGAAACCAGCCTATTTCATAATTTGGTTTTCTTTTAACAATAATTTTAAATTTTCTATAAAATGATATTCCAGGGCCCAACAGGTTATATAGCACAAATATGTGAAGTACACCTGCAGTATGGAAACAGTACAACAAAATGGCCGTTTTACACTTTTTTCTAGTAAATTCCTCTCTATATATTCTATTCTCTATGTTCATAAACCTTCCCTGTGGTCACGTGATGTCCCACAAAAAATTTGGGCCCTATCGGTTCAGCCGTTTTGACGTTTATTGGATACAAACAGAGAGAGACAAGCCAAATTTATATATAGATTACAAGATATTTGATGAAAATGTTGAAAACAAAAATTTTAGTTGAACAAAAACTAAGAACATTTAAAAGTTTAAGAACTTTTCCCCACGAAAATTAAGAACATTAAGAACTGTTTTTAAGCCAAATCCTAAATTTAAGAACAGGGGGCAACTATGGTGATAATGTGGTCATCGTAAATATCAATTCAATGAAGACGACTTTCTAATACTTTCTAAACAAGAGAAGATGTCAAAATAATGGAAAATATTCTTCTTTTTTAAATATTACTTGTGAAGTTTTATTATACTTACAGTGAGACACAGAAAACTGTGGAATAGAAAGACGATATTAAAGCATTAAGTGTATTTTATGTTGTTACAAAGCAAAGAGTTTTACTTGTGACTTATTAAATCTCTTAGTAAGTGAAATGGGTCTGTTTAATCTGCACAATTGCTATGTCTAATGTTCATTAGACTATTCAAAGTCATAACTTGGGTTAAAATTCGTCTTCATATTCTGAAGTTTTCTGGTTATCACTGTACATGCATTGAATTGAAATCTTTGTTTTTCTCTTACCTTTGTTCCATTTATAATTTTCAAAGTAACAGTTTTTTCAATAAAACCATACTGATTCTCCATCTAATGTACGGTATAGTGTTATCAATAAAAACAAGAATTGAAGACGATATCTAACTTAAAACTAATTTTATTGGACGGCTCGTAGAGATTTGTAAAAACAAAACAATGCACAGATGGAACTTCTGTACTAAATGTAATTTATTTACAAAATTATCTTTTGAATCCTTATCCTCAAAGTGACCTCATAAAATTTACAGTGGTGCTCATAAAACTATGGAATAGAAAGAATATATTTAAGCAAGGATGTCAACTCATAAACTAAACAACACCTGCCCCCTTCTCCACCAAATCGAGGACACATTTTCAGACATATTAATTTCATCAAGTTACAAAGTCCTTCTGAGACTGTTCCTTGTATGATCAATGGCCGTCCTAATGATATTTTTTCGGGACGATAGTTTGGCCGCTAGATGTCTCATGTGAGATTCTTATCTCCGATATATAGATAATTACGACACACACACCATCGGAAACATCATCTGAGCTGGGAACTTTAGAATGGTGGATATCGAGATCAATGCTTGATCCTCTCGTTTTTTGAATCTCGAAACTAACCTAATCAATTGTAGTTTATACTGCAAAGTGTATAAAATTCAACCAACCACAGTCGCGTATCCGGAACCAGGAAATTTGAAATTTTGCGCGCCATTTAAGATTAATATACAGAAACGGGTGGGACTCTCTAATTTTGAAAACCTGCTTTTAGATTTTCTGTACTAAATCCAAACAAGAGTGGATTGAGCAAGAAATTAAAAGTGTCCACGTATTGGATATTCGGATTAATAAGTCAGGATTAAAGGTATCCCATTCTAAAGTTCCCGGCTCTCTTCGACCTTTGTAGTGTTGGAAAGGAATGGCCTCCGATTATTTATGTTCAAACGAAAAAGCGAAAACTTCGATCATAGTATAGTGTCCACTTCATTGGAAATCAACATTTCTTTGTAATCTCCCAAAGTTAGAATTATTTGACCTTGCAGGTGTATTCTCCAGAGTCCTCATCAGTAACCTCCGCAAACTCAAGTCTAAAAAATTATTTCGTTCTTTCTCAAAATGTTCGTTTATATTTATTGATTACTAATCGTTTGTTTTTTATTTTGTTTGGTTTAAAAAAGATAATTTTTCATCTTTCTCCAATTCGTTTCTCCATTGTTTTTTTTTCTCCTAACGGTCCTCCATTGCTTACAAATATTTTTAAAATGATTAAAATTGTATTGAAATTTAAAACTTACTGAAGGTGAACCACAATGTCGTCTTCTAACCAGGTTCGGGAAACATTTCTCCCAAGTACTGGTCGAACTTCTTCACCAAACCTTAGTGGAAAGATTTAGATCAATAATAAGATTAAAGGAATTTTAAGCTAAAATTCACGTTACTTTCAGAAGCTTTATCTGATCATTAATAAATTAGACACCAATAGTTAGAATTTTCAATTCTGGGTTTTCTACAAATTCTATAAATTGTGTCTTGCGCATTTCCACCAAGGAGTATGAAATAGAAGGGAGATACAACTGACGCGGCCTGTCCTACCATATGATTATACATTCTTTGCAGACGGTACTCCATTTGAATAAGAAATATTTGTCTGATGTAAAATTACCGCGTATACAATAACCTATTCTGAATATTTCGTATACAAATGGAGTACCGTCTGCAATCATATGGTTGGGCGGGCCGCGTCAGTTGTATCTCCCTTCTATTTCATACTCCTTGATTTCCACTAAAGTATTATCATCATTTATCACTTTTAAACCTAGTAAACCGACACAATATTTCACATTACTGATCAAATAAAGGTTTCGAGGGTACCGTTGTGAATCGGGCATTGTCATCTTTGCATTGATGAGAACATTAAATTACGCTTATAGTCCCTATAAGATTGATTACTTCTTTGTTATAATATTGATGTTTCTTTCAGATTGAAAGTACTCTTTGAAATTTGGACCATTATAAAAACCAAATTTGAAATATTTCAGTTTTTTGATCATGTGTAATATACCTGTACCATGCAGTCTGTACAGGTTCCAGGCTTACAGAATTATACTGTTGTCCGACGGTTGCAGAGCAGCTTGGACAATTTTAAATAATAATAATAGTAAAAATTATATAACCCATATATAAGAACCATATATAACCCATATATAACCCATATATAACCCATATATAAGAACCATATAAAAACCATATTTAAACCATATATATTATATAACCCATATATAAACCGATATATAAGAATCATATATAAACCATATTGAAACCATATATAAACCCATACATAAACTTATATATAAGAACCAAATTTAAACCATATATAAACCATAAATAAACCATTTATATACCATATATAAAACATATATAAACCAACTATAAATCATTTATAAGAACCAAATATAAACCATATATAAAGCCATATACAAGAACCATAAATAAACCATATATAAACCGTATATAAACCATATGTAAGAACCATATATAAACCACATTGGAATAATATATAAACCATATACAAGAACCATATAAAAACCGTATATAAACCAATAAATAAGAACCATATAAAAACCACATTGGAATAATATATAAACCATATACAAGAACCATATAAAAACCGAATATAAACCAATATATAAGAATCATGCATGCAATGCTCGATACATTAATATATTTATTACTAGTTGTATGCTCGATACATTAATATATTTATTCCTAGTTGTATGCTTGATACATCTGTATATATATTCCTAGTTGTATGCTCGATACATTAATATATTTATTCCTAGTTGTATGCTTGATGCATTAATATATTTATTCCTAGCTGTATGCTTGATACATTAATATATTTATTCCTAGTTGTATGCTCGATATATTCATCTCCAAACCTGTAAAAATAAAATACAACAGACCCCAATCTATTAATCGGTCTCATATGGATTCTTGGTGTCTCCGATGAAAATCTTGGTGTCTCCGATGAAAACCAGGGTGTTGTCAAAAAGTGGATACATTTCATTGTTTCAAGTCTTTTGAAACCTAAAACTAGTTGAAGTGCTCGTGGAATTTCAGAATTACTTAAAAACAAATTTTGAAAGTTGAAAAAAAGCTTATCTCGGGAAAAGAATTCAAATTTTTTAAGCCAGGAAACTTAAAGGTTCCCTGAAAAAATGTCAGATAATTTGGTTCAGCTGTTTGATCAGCAATAGCTAAAACATATATATACATGTAGCAAATACCTACTCCATAACAATTTCCTTGAGACGTATCTATCCAGTTCTACTCGTTACCAAGATCGCCTAGGACTAAGATCTCCGATTCGAAATGCCACCAAAGCAATTTCTTAACCAGGATAAACTTTCTGGTTCTGAAGGACACACAGTCCAATGATTTTGCTATACTGGCAATTTCTCCCCCAGGCTTAACTCGTTCCAAAGGACACAGTCCAATGAAAATGCTACCAGGCAATTTGTCAACCAGGCTTAACTCCCTGGTTTTAAAGGACACACAGTCCAAGGAAGTTGCTACCAGGCAATTTCTCAACATGTATAATTCAATGAGAACCAAAAGCTCTATTTTCAAGCTTACCTTAGATTCGATGCTAAATCAACTAGCAAAGATCTCTGCTCGCCTTGTTTCAACGAGAACACAGGGTACTTCTAATACCGTAATCAAAGCAGAACTCAATCAACTAACTTCCTTCAACAGCTTAGGTTACAAAGTTAACAGGAATTGAAGTAATTCTATTCCTACGATGTTATTGATATCACATGATTAAGAACATATATTTATCGCACAGTTAAAGGTATAAAGGATTAGAGAGAATAGATTATACGCAGTTAATCTATCTCTGCCCATATGTTATAGCGTAATTTAAGTATGTCGTATGATTTAAGCTAATCATGTTAAGTATTCCTTTAAAACGCAGTTTCAATAAATAATCTCATTTTGCATAAGTGTAAAACATTAAATCATTTGAGACGTACAATGTAATGCAAGTTTACAGAATATCATGTTTACACGTTTTTTGCTACATACATGTAAATATATTCTTGGCTTTTATTTCAATTAAGTACATGTTCTCTTTGTATGCCTTGTACAACAAAACCAAACAAAAATTTTGCGGATTTTATAAAGAAAATTCCTTGGATTTCCAAAGTTTTCAAAAATCAATTTTTGTTAGAAGAAAATTTTTGAAAATTCGATCATCTATAAACCTTCCCTGGGATCATGTGATGTCCCCCACAAAATCTGGGCCTGATCGGTTTAGCCGTTTTGACGTTTATTGGATACAAACGGACAGACAAACAGACAGACACCTAAACTGTATATAGATGAGGAAATAGTTATTATATAGAAGATAAAAGTGAGGTTCTGTAACTTTTTTCTATGTAAATTGGAACTATGGAAACCAAGGTTCTTTCAAAAGGTTATACAACCATGAAAACCAGGAAAACGACATTTGAGCAATATCGAGTACTTGATGTGATACAAAAGTCAAATAGTTAAATTGAGTTTATTTTTGAAAGCTTTTACTTTCATTAAAAACAGATTGTTTTGAGATTGATATCTAAGATCATAAACAATCTTTAAGTTATCTTCCCATTGTGTAACAATAATGTTTAGTTTGACAGTCGGAACTATCTGTGGTTTTTCTTTATATCTTAAATCTATGATTCACATATTTAAAAGAACGCATAAAAAATATTTACAAGAAATCCTGTGTCAGAGGTGACAAGTTAATATTTGTTAGAAAAAACTATTCTTTTGACATTTTTCGGACGTACGAATGTTGTTTCAAACTCCCCATCATATACCTAAACTAATCAAATCTAAATCCCAAATAAGTTTAAAACACTAAAAAAAATAGGCATTTAAAATTTGGTCTGAGACATTCATCACCCACCCCTTAAAATTTAGGAACTCTATGGGGGGGGGAAGGTTGTCAAAAAAGCCCCCCCTCCCCTCTCCTTCCTACTTTAGAGAAAAGGCTTTCCAGGCTAAGCTGAATTTTCAAGAATTTTCTGATTTACCTGTAAACAATGGCGTGTCTGTCCTGATCATATCAACTTTAAGATATGGTGGTATTTTTCATAAATATTTCAAAAATATTTAAATAGAGAGTTTTATCAACTTTAAAATATGGTGGTATTTTTCTTTAAAAATATTTAAATATAGAGTGTTCCACTAAACATGAAAATTTCTTAAAATAAAAAATGGCATCCCATGCCTCCTCGAACTACTCACGTGTTAACTCACGACCGCAATAGCCATGTAATTCGCGCATTCCGCGCAACGGAAATCCGATTGGAAAATCTTATATTCATTCATTGACAAAAATAAAATGTTTCTAGTTTGTTTAAGATACAAAAACACGTAGTTTTTTTTGATAAGCTCAATAGACCTGCCATCTTTTTTTATTTGTCATTAAATATAGCTATCAGAGATCAGAGATCTTCACCTCCTTTATGGCCATCATTACCGATCCATTTTCCCTTAACAGAGGAACATTGAGCTACGTAATGTCCTTTGGGACAATAAAGTAAAATGACGACCTTCTCTGCGATGTTTTCATGAAAAAATCGCGCATCTCAAAAGGCGATAAAATAGTGTACAACCACTTTATCGGGAAATAAAACTTATTACTTAAACACGGGTCCCCTCGACCAATTTTTCAAACACAAGTTAAATTTCCTTAATTTCCCTGTGAAGTAGTTGATGACAAAATTATTAAAAACTTTTATGTTAAAAGGACACCCAGTATAATTTTTATGAGAATCAATAATTTAACAATAATTGAATCTTTAAAAGTTCCTGTGTCCATGGGAATTGTACACCATCCTAAAAATAGACAATGTTTTACATATTTTTTGTTTCTGAAAAAAGATTCATCTCTCACCTTACTCCAAAGTATTTCTTGAAATCTGGGACCAAGACAGCAATGAAGCTCCTTATATTTACCAACTAAAAGATAAATAGATACAATAAGAACGAATGTCTTTTCTTTCTTGATTCTCCGGGAAAGGAGCAAAATTTAATAGTTTTTCATATTTTACTCTTTCTACATTTTATATAAGACGGAAAACAGTGACCTTTTCGAAATCTTCTCTTTTTCTTTTGATTATGAGAAAAAAAGATGTTGGACTGTGCAACTGCTCTGTAGTGTACTCGGAACAGTTTTTTAGTAAACTTACCAACATTTAATGAGCTAAAAAAACATGTTAGGTACTTTCTAGCTGAAAGTCTTTTTCCCAAGCGGCATTTTCCCAAGGGTATTTTTCCAAGGATATTTTCCCAAGTGGCGACTTCCCAAATGTTCAATTTTACAAGGGGTGCGATCTGCCCCTTTGCAGCCAGCGGCGCCTAAAAAGGCCTACCCTAACCTTTGGAAAATTCTACATTTTGGAAGTTGCCACTTGGGAAATTTTCACTTGGAAAGTCACCCGTTGGAAAATGCTTTTGGGAGAGTACCTAACACGAGTTTCTGGTTCAATAACATACAAAAGGTATACCAATAACAAAGTTAAGTATACTAAAGTATACAGGAGTATGTGGTAGGTTGAGATACCTACCTATTGCATACTGTTGTATATAGTTATGTTTGGTAAAGTATAGAGGAGCATGGGCCTGGGTTAGATAGGGGGGACACTCGCAAAAGTGTTGCAGACTACACAGATCATCCCTGCACTAAAAAATTTCAAGATTATACATTTTTGCATAATTGAAAGAAAAAAAGTTGTAAAAATTTTAAATAATGTTTAAATGTTCCCAGTAAAGCTATCTTGTTTTTGTGAACGAACGAAACATTTCGAAACAAAGAAGACTTTTTGTGAACGATAGTATCGTTCAGTAAAATTATCAAATGATGAACGAGCGAATTGTAATGTTCAGAGAGAGATGGTAAACATACATCTGTCAGACCGTTAATATACGATGTTCAAATCTTTTATTCAAACAAACTTAACAAAACGATTATTCAAAATAAAGTATTCTACTGAAAGAACGATTTTGTAACAAACTTTTGAAAACGATCAATTCTTACAGAACAAACAATTTTTCCGAACGAACTTAAAAAATGATTTTCTTTTAAAACAATCGATTTTATATATTGAACGAATGATTTAAATATTTACCTTTGCTTGCATTATTAAGATACAGAAAATAAAGCCCTGTTTTCATATTTTAGTTTCAAAACATTTAGACATACATTACTTTATATAGCTAGAAAAATAACAATATATAGTATAAATCTATAACTTTGATACACTTTTGGAAAGCCCTGCGGCTCTAGTTTTATAATCTGCAAAAATATTTGCATTTTTTCCAAATTTATTAAGCAAAAAATGAAAGATATATAATTAGGTTCTAATGACAATAAATTAAAGACGTGGGGGCGCCGCAAGCGCGCCTAAGTATTCGTGTATTTAATACCCATATAATAATAATAATAATAATAATAGTAATAAAAGTAGCTAAAATAATGATAATCTAAGAAATAATAAAAAATAGCTTTTTTAGAAAAAATACACACTTCATCTCTGGACTAAATATTTTTCACGTTTAAAAACCTTTTTCTTTGATTTCTCATTCATTTCAATATTAATATAAGAATCCGAGTTTGACTAAAATAATTCCTTTATTATTAACATTTTCCTTGCTATAACACAACTGAAGAATAAACGTATTTTATATGGCTTCCATTAGAGAAGTCATAACTAATCTGAAGTTTAGATTCTAAAAAAGTCAAGGACTAGTTTAGATGTTTTTGAAACACCGACCAGCTTTATGAAGGTGTCCTACCCTACGTACCCTTTGAATTAAAAAAAACTCATTTTGGGTAAAATATGTGAAGTTAGTTGAAATTAAAACGTGAAAAATTTAAGTTTTTAAGTTATGAAAATGAAAACAGGCGAAGAGGTAGAAAATACCCCTCCCCCCCTCCCTCATCGTAAAAGGGTTGAAAATATTTTAAACAGTTCTCATAATTCTCGTGGATTTTCAGAGTAAGACGACTTTTTATACATGTCTGAAACTAAGAATACTTTGATAGACAAAATGGCTTAACGAAATGTAAGAGACTAAGAACTTTTCCTTGTAGAAGTCTACCAACTCAATTTAAAACTTTAAACCCAAACTTAGACAATTTCTTCCCGTGGTTTTACCGAGTTTCCTTTTCAAATTTGAGGCGAATCGATAAATGGGTTGCTGAGTTATGATCGGAATAACAAACAATTGCAGACAAACTGACAAACAGAGAGATTCCAACTATATGTATTTATAGAAAGCATGAAACATAATGTAAAGTATATATGTATATGTATAAATGTATATGCATATATGTATATGTAGATATGTATGTATGTATGTATATGTATATCTATATATATATATAATGATGGAGCATTGGTTAGCATGTTTGATTCAAAATCCAAGAATTCATGGTTCAATCCCCACCAACTGCAAAATCAAAATCTGGTGAATTGAGCCATACTGATGAAACACTAGGATGAAACACTGTGTCCAAATATATATATATATATATATATATATATATATATATAAATGATCCATTTTTATTGATTATTTTGAATATTAATCCTGTGTGTACAATACAATAACACGTTTTCGCCTCAACTGCCCTTACAAGGCGGACATTCCTTTTCAGCTGATTGGGGATTTATAAATTTCATTGGAAATCACATTCTTAGTACTTACTCAGCTATATATAATCTGTGTGCAGTTATGCACATCAGACCGATGATAGATAAGTCTTATCTACAGCTAATCCTTGATCCATAGTTTTTACAGATAGGTCAATGGTGTTTTGTGTTGTGTAGAGTTGTTGATCGTTTTTAAAAACGGCAAAAAACGATCGTTTTCCGTTTCGTTTTTTTCTTAAAACGAAAGTTTCGTCGTTGAAGACAGCTTTTTTAACGATGGGTTTTTTTAAACGATTGTTTAGGAAAAAATGTCACTAATTCATCTTAGTTTTATGACAATGATTTATTTTAAGAAGATAAGTTTTTGAATGTTTTATTAAATGTTTTTTTATCGAGGGAATAACCTGTTAATGTTTCTTACCCATGGATTTCTAAATGTATTTTGTATTAAAAGGTCTTTAACGATCGAATTAACGAAGGGTCGTCGTTAACTGTCGTATAGCAAAGGGTCGTCGTTCATGAAATCATAAAAAATTATTTTTTCCTTACGAACTTTTTTTATTTATAGTCTGGACATTTTAAAATTTTCAATATTTGAGCGAGTACAAATTTTGAGAATTAAAATTTTTTAAATATTTTGTTCGTTATCTACTATGTGAGTTCTCACATGTTCTATCTATGTTTCCTTTGATTTGACCCATCTGATCACGAACAATTCCTTAAAAGGGGTGACGAGGCGTCTTTTAGAAATCTACTCTTAAACTAACCCTTCTTAGGAACGCTGGCTAGTTAAAATAGCCGTTTTTTTATTTGTGGAAACATTTGTAAATATTGCTGTTAAAACTCTTGAGATATTTGTTTTTTTTTGTCTTTTCTGGTAATCTTTTTTTCCCAAAAATATTTTTAAGAAATTTTTGCATTTCCCTAAACATTTTTGCGAAAAAATATTATAGAAATTTTTTTTTGCGAAATTTTGTATCGTTTTCGCTTTTTTTGCTTCATTAATTTTCGTGAAAAATGCGATATTTCGCGAATAAGTTTGTAAATGCGAACGAAAACTTTCGCATTTTTTTGCGAACCGTTTCGTTCGCCGCAATTCCTAATCGTAGCTCGTATTAATTCATAATGATTTCAATTTATAATTACTTTCCCATTCATATATTTATCCTTGGATAGATCCCATAAATCCCCGATATTATAGAGGTCATACAGGCAGGGTTACACAAGATTGCAACAAAAACATATACTTTGTAGTTTTTTATACGAAATTACAACGGATTTAGGGTAATCTAGATATATAATTAGGTTCTAATGACAATAAATTAAAGACGTGGGGGCGCCGCAAGCGCGCCTAAGTATTCGTGTATTTAATACCCATTTTAAGAGTTTTCACGGAAATTACCAGTTTCTGTCGGATTTTAGAACTTCAACGCAGAATTATACCACGACACTTCTCTCAAAAACAATTGCTCAAGCGCCCGAGCTTTATTTTAATTGAATAAGAGGTTTATGGTTAAACTCAATATTGCTGACCCCCCCCCCTGATACCCCACTGTGAAGGGGGTGGTGTATCTTCAAATCTTTAAATGACCTAACAGTTGGCACAAACCATTCATGGAGAGTATAGGGAATACAATTTTATAAATAAAATTTAGAAACATTAAGGAAAAACCCTTATCATTTTTTATTTTCAATATTGCTGACCCCCCCCCCCCGGATACCCCACTGTGAAGGGGTGGCGTCTCTTCAAATCTTTAAATGACCTAACAGTCGGCACAAATCATTCATGTAGAGTATAGAGAATACAATTTTTATAAATGAAATTTAGAAACATTAAGAAATTTGCAAAACCCTTACTATTTTTTATTTTCAATATTGCTGACCTCCCCCCCCCTCAATACCCCACTGTGTATCTTCAAATCTTGAAATGACCTAACAGTAGGCACAAACCATTCATGGAGAGTATAGGGAATATAATTTAATAAATGAAATCTGAATTCCTATCATATGAAAAATACATAACAAACATTAAAATTTTTTTTTCCAGATTAAAGATGGATATTTACTCCCACTTCGCGCTTGATGCAGTTCACATTTTAGGTTAGAGATTGATTTTAGAATTTTAGGAATACAAACATTTTTATTCGATAATGTAAAGTTGAAAATTAACGGACAATATTTGTTTTTCAGAACATTATTCCATTTATACAGAAAAATTCATGTTTGTTGACGATTTTATTTTTGTTCTATATTTCAGGTTTGAGCAATGTAGTTCCAGAAATAGACGATTGGATAAGGTGTTTTTTTTCTTCAAAATTTCAAAATTCTATTAAGCACAAAAAAGATTTATAAAATTATATTTTTCAATGTTTTGAAATAAATTGGTAGTTTCGATATTTTTTGTTTGTATGAATACATACATTTTGTATAAAAACTTTGCTTTAATAATTAATATGCTTTAATATTTAATTGCTTTAATAACATTATACTGTAAATATCGAAATATCCCTGCTCAAATCATTTTTTTATTACAGGGATAACCAGAAAACTCTGGAATAGGAAGATGTTTTTAGCAATACTTAAGTGTATTTGATGTTGTTACAAAGGAAAAAGTTTTACTGGACACTTATCAAATCACTAACTAAGTGATATTTGTGTGTTAACACTGTACAATCACTATTTCCCAGGCTCATTAGACTTTTTAAAGGTAAAACTTGACTCTAAAAGTCGTCCTCCAATTCCGGAGTTTTCTGGTTATCACTGTAGTTTATTCACTTTTAGAAATTTCAAATGTCATCTAACAAAATTTGTTGGAGCTCCGGCATAAAATTCACCTTAGCAGAATCGTTCAAAAAATTTGACGAATGATTTTGCTAAGGTGAATTTGAGGCCGCTGCTCCAACACATTTTGTTAGATAAAATTTTGAAATTTCCAAAAGTATTCAATGCATACTGTCATGATCTACTTTTCAACAATATTTTTAGAAAGAATTAACAATATAATTATATTGTTTGATATCTAAAAAAATATTGTAAAGCGCATTACGGGATTTATGTTTTATATTTACAGTAAGAATATAAATTGACAAAATAAACACTGCAATCTTGCATTTTAACAGTGAATGTTTGTTTTTTATTGCCATCATTTCCTCAATTTGTATTGGCGTAGAGGCCATTGCAAAAATTTTATTTGTGAAAATAAGTTTTAAAAGTACAGTTATTTACAATTTTGTCTGAAGTAAATACAACTATACTGAGACTGAGGGTGTAGACATTACGCAATCTTTGCCACTTATTCGAAAATCCGCTTTCATTTGTCCCAGAGCCCAAAACTTAAGCTAGGCAGAGTATCACAATGAAACCTAGTATCGGAAACATGGTTTCATGAATGGGGTCAGGCAATTTTGTAGATACCAATATTTTTGTTATGAAATATTAATTCATGTGGTTTCTTTCCATTCTTATTTTGTTTTTTATATTTTCTTAAATTAAAATCTACGCAAATGTTTAAACCCCAAAAAGGAAACTAAGTGGTTTCGTACAATTATGCTCTTTTAAATTTCCGGCGCTGAGATAAGAGAGTAAAGATATTTATTAAAGGCTAGAATACGCGGTATTTTCGACAACAGGTTCTGTAGTGTAGAACTTTATGCGACCAATTAGAAGACATCTTTATTTAGGGATATTTCAGGATCCTTCGGATATGAAATACAAAACCTTTGAAAATAGACTAATTTCTAAAATTTTGTATTTGATGTTAAAAGTTGGAGTATTTCTTAAAAAATTGCAAAACTTAACGCTTGAATAAGTATTATATGCAACACATGGCTGTTAGATGGCAGTCTAAAACCTTTCGTAGGAATGTAGCATGTCATGCCGGTGTGACTAGATTCTTAAATTACCCACTCCGTGACAGCTGATAAGCATTAGCTATATATCTAATCTGTGATTCGTCCCATAACCTGCAGTATTGGATTCGTCCCATAACCTGCAGTATTGGATTCGTACCATAACCTGCAGTATTGGATTCGTACCATAACCTGCAGTGTTGTATTAGGGTGTTGCTTGTGTATCTTTTTTAAATGCAAACAATGTCCAATTAGACATTTTCTAGTTGTAATTTAGCTCCGACTTTCTCGCCAAGCTAGCTTTGAAAATTGAAGCTAAATCCCAGCTAGAAAGTGTCCATTGAACCGGATACAAGTGTTGATTGCAGGGATAGGAGTCTTGAATCTGAACTCAACGATGGAGACGAGGCAAGGATAGGAGGTAGAGCTGTCAACGATATTGTAGCATAACCAGGAACCCCCCCTCTATTACCTTATTGTGATACAAATCTATAACATTTGATACACTTTTGGAAAGCCCTGCGGCTCTAGTTTTATAATCTGCAAAAATATTTGCATTTTTTCCAAATTTATTAAGCAAAAAATGAAAAACAAAAAGTACGCGAAATACGACAAATTATGCATTTTTGATAAGCCCTTACCGCGGAAATTTCAAATATGAAAAAATACTTGCAAAATTTTCAAAAACTAAATTTTTATTTAACTAAAAATTTGCAAATTCTCTTTAAAGGCATCTGTGCAAAAAACTGGGCAAAATTTCTTCGCAAAAGTTATGCAATCTACTTTGATTTCCAAAGAGCTATAACAAGTCAAAATCCAATTTCCGGAAGTAGTTCTAAATATAGATTTAGTAGGGTAAAGGTAAAATAAGGCATTCAGGCAGTATGCCTTGTAATAAGTTGACCTAATGATGCAGTATTTTTGAGAAATTCTTTAGGATTCATTTGAGACCGATCAGACGTTTTTACGGTAAATATTTGTACAGCAAGAGCGCAATTTCAATCTTTAAAATCCTCATAGATTGTCCTTTTCAGAGGGATGATTTTAAGAATCGGGTTTTTAATAAATATTCAATGACAACAATGAAAAAAGTAAAAAAAAATTCTACAATAAACTGAGTAGTTGTTTGGGAACAGGTTTAGATAATAAAGATTAACTCGTATCATCAAAATAAGTAATACTATTCAGTTATGGTTTCTGTATTGTCTTGTTGTTCACAAACATTTTCTGTAGATTTCCTGTACATTTGAGAAACCGATTCTCAAATCATCCCTTCAAAATGGAAATTCATTGAGGATCAAAAACATTGAATTCGCGCTCTTTCTGAAAAAATATGCACTGTAAAAATGTCTCTACGAAATTGTATTCTCAACTCAACTACCATCTCTAGCCAGACACGCCCGTTAGGGGAAAACTATATTATAACAAATTCTAGTTTTGTAAAAATCTAAACGTTGACATCTCTAACTAGGAGGAGGTGAGGGAAGGATAGAAGAAGGAGAATCAAAAAAACTGGATTTCCAAATTCCTGATCTTACAGGGATTGGGATTAATATCAGGGATAAAGAAAACTGCTTATTTCAGACTGAAAAAAATCACTTTCTTATACTTTAAGCAACCTTTTTTTTCTTCCTTAATAAGTGAGCATGGCTGGGTGCCATTTAAAAGTAGGGTTTCCAACGAACGAAACGTTCCCCGAAAAAATCATTTTCGTTCGTTTTTTGCAAACTTTGTCGTGAAAAGGAATGAAGTGAAATTTATAGATGAATATGCGTTTTATTTTCTCAAAATTTTGTCTTTTTTGTTGAATTTTCGCAAAAATTTAGCATTCTATTTGAATTCCGTATTTTTTCGCAAAATTTTCGCATTATTTTTGTCGCGAAATTTTGGCATTATATTTTTGCGATATTTTTCCCGAGCAAACGAAATGCGAAAAAATGCAAAATTTTAGCAGACTATTTTCCTTTTTCGCAGGAAACTCTATTTACAAGGCACCAACGTTTTTTCTGTGAAGGAACGGGATTTCTTTTTAACGACCACATTGTTGGGAAAATAATTGTTGGAAAAATGAAGTTAGAACTGAACTTAAATGATCATGAATTAATTAACATCTAATAATTACATTTTGGGATCAAATATCTGAAATTGTGAAATTGTGTCTCCTGGAATTTCAGAAATTCAATTTGTATGCTTGTTGAGCATTTTTCTATCAGTCAAACGTTTGATGATCTTCTTTCGCCTGCTGGGATAGTTAATCAGTTTGTATTATCAATCTTCTTTCAAATTGTATCAATTGTGGGGTATGCAATTGCAGGTAAACTGCCGATTTTTTAAATCATTTATCTCAAATCTATTAAATGTTCTCTATTTTCCTATCGATATACTAATTGCATTTCTTATATATTTGTATGTGCATTGGGCTTTACTTCAATAGTCCGCAAATATGGCAAATTTTACAAAAATCCAAATATTTATTGTCATTGAGAACATATGTGGGAAAACAAAAATTGCGCGAAATATAAACAATTATATGTAATTTGAAGGTTCTTGACCTAGAAAATTAAAATATGCAAAAATAATTTCAAAAATGTGTAAAACATGTGCAAAACTACTTAGCAAAAATTTTGCAATCCGCTTCCTTTCCAAAGAGCCACTAAATGTTAAAATCCATTTACTTGAAATGGGTCTAAATATAGATTTAGTCTGGAATTGGAAAAAGCAAGGCAAATTTGAACGGCCTCAGACAAACACGTTTTAGTTTTGACCAGTAAAGTGCCCCCCTCCCCCCTCGGAGGATAGGGAGCACTTACAAAACATATGTACACAGTGTTTCCCGCATTAAGGTGAAACATTTGAGATTTTTGTTTGCGCAAGAAATAGGGTTTAACTATGTCCAATTATTGAGTTCGAATGGAAGTGTTGCATGGCTAATCACACTTTTTTTTTTGACTTACCCTGTTCCTACTTCCTACTTCCGGTCATTCCGGCTTATATTTGAAGGTTAAAGCTATAAAACTTTCAGTTTTAGTTTCAAAAGAAAATTTGATCGTGTCAGAATGTGGCATATTTATTACTTTGGTTTATCTAGGTGGTATCTATTTGAAGATTGCTGCTTCAGTAACAAGTGGTCCTCTTCTTCCTGCCATCACATACTTTAGCAGACATTTCTCGGCTCAGGTGAAAACATTAAAATGCAAAACATAAAATATATAAGTTGAATTTACCTGTACAGACAACTGGGGTGAATCCAGCTCTTTGAAGGGCCGCGTTCAAAATAAAGATGAATTTGTAAATTTTCTGATATTACTGTATTCGATGTCACTCAAAACTCTTCATTCTGAAGACATCTTCCCCTGCGGAAAAAAGTTACCCAAAAATGTGAGGACGTTTTTAACATTTAAAATATGTGTTAATTTGCGGCGGTTGAAGGATAAAAAATATTCTAAAAACCTTGTATTGCATCCCAGATCTACAAGGCAAAAGGTTGAAGGATAAAAAATATTCTAAAAACCTTGTATTGCATCCCAGATCTACATAGGCAAAAGATCTACCAGATCTACCAGATCTACCAGATCTACTGCATCCCAGATATACATAGGCAAAAGAGTTTTACTAAATAATTTTAATTTCAATTTGTTGCACTTGAAACAAAATGGTGTTATAAAATCTTTGTGTTGAATATCATAAATTCGGTTGTTATTTCTTATTCTTAACTGCAAAGAGGCTATATAGGCTCTGTCTCTACCACCACTTGTTTAACAGCTACCTCTGTTTTTTTGTCCATAAAGAATATTTCATAGGAGTTTTTCTCAGCATTTAAGTCGTGAATAATTTCCGTAGTGAATAACGAAGACTCCACTCATTCCACAGTTTACATGGTTGCCACTGCATCATTCATGTCACCTTCTCATAATTTTACGGATGATAGAGATTGCATGATAAAGAAGACCATGGTTGTATTTCTATCAAAGTGAAAGTGAGAGATTTTCAAACTAAGATACTACACACAACAAATCAGGTTTTAGAAAGACCTGTTTTATGAATGGAATGTTTGAAATTTTTAAACAGCGTTTTTTTCAAACTTTGCCCGCTTTGAAAATTGGTTTAGCATTCACACCTTCTGTAATTTTGTCTCAATTCGGGGAGGTAGGGGGCCTGCTCTCACTGGGACCAATCCCACACCTTCTGTTTTGGTCTGAGGTAGGGTTAAATCGTTTTAACTTTTTTAAAATGATTGTTTCGTTTAAAAAATGGCTAAGAAAATGAAAAACGAAACGTAAATTAAATACGAATTAGTCGTTTTATAGTTTTAGTTTGTCGTTTTGTAAACAAAGGCAGGTCGTTTTTTAATTTTTGACGATCGTTTACGACAACCCTTCGTCAACGAGCGTTAGCGACCTTTTTATTGAACTACATTTTTTGGTCGGAAAACTCTTAGATCAGAAAACTCTCAGATTATTTCTCTCAAAAACTTATCTTTCTAAACAAATTGGAATTTATTGTCATAAATATCAGATTCATTAGCAGAAATGTTTTCAAAAACAATCGTTTTTCGTAATTTTAAAGTTCAAAAATAGGGGTTCGTTCGTTGCGACCCATCTCTTTTTTATTATAAAAAAAGGAAACGAAACAAAGAACTATCTTTTTTTTTATTGTTTCTAAAAAATATTACTAACCCAGTCTGAGGCTATTAATTTTGTTTTACTTATCTAACCATGTCCCCCAGTACAGGCTACAAACTGTGGATTTACTTATCTAACCATGTCCCTCAGTACAGGCTACAAACTTGCATTTACTTATTGAACCATGTCCCCCAGTACAGGCTAAAAACTGTGCATTTACCTTATCTAACCATGTCCCTCAGTACAGGCTACAAACTACTCCAGTTCTCAGACCTCTGGCAAACTGTCTGAATGTTTTTTTACCTAAACCAGACTAAAACTATATTTAGACCCACCTCTAGTCATTGGATTTCAACATTTCAAAGATCTTTGAAATTAAGATCGAACAAGTTATAATATAGCAGTAAGAACCAGAAAACTATGGAACTGGACGACGACATTAAAGCATTTATAAAGTTTTTTTGTTGTTGTTCCAAAGCAAATCATAATTTTACTTGTAACTTTTTAAATCACTTATTAGTTGAAATAGGTCTGTATACGCTATACAATTGTTGTGTCTCATGAACATTGGATTATCTAAAGTCTTAACTTAAGTCTAAAAGCCGTCTTCCTATTCCAGAGTTTTCTGGTTCTCACTGTACTGTCCCTAGGCTGTGTTTGACACAGTGGTGCGGAGTTTAATCTTGATGATCTGGGAGTTGATAATGAGACTTGTTACTGTCTTTGCTATATTCGGGATAGTAGATACGGTAGGTACTCTAGATACAAGGTGTACAGTTAAACATCATTATCAATATAGTAGATACGGTAGGTGCTCTAGATACAAGGTGTACAGTTAAACATCATTATCAATATAGTAGATACGGTAGGTATTCTAGATACAAGGTGTACAGTTAAACATCATAATCAATATAGTAGATACAGTAGGTATTCTAGATACAAGGTGTACAGTTAAACATACTTTTCAATATATTAGATACGGTAGGTATTCTAGATACAAGGTGTACAGTTAAACATCATAATCAATATATTAGATACAGTAGGTATTCTAGATACAAGGTGTACAGTTAAACATCATTATCAATATAGTAGATACGGTAGGTATTCTAGATACTAGGTGTACAATTAATCAATTTTGACCATTTTATCCGTCTTTTTAATTTTCATTGCTAAAATTAAATGTGTAATGTAGGTGTCCTAAGTTGTTGTCCCCTCCCAACAAAAAAACATTGAATTAATAATCTAAACGCTCTTTTACACTATTTAATGTATCTGATTTATTTTGATCAGAAAACAAAGGATTTTTATTTACTTGTAAGAAAAAGTTCACGATTGGATTTTGTAGCTTTTGCAGCTGATTTATTTCCACAATATTCCTTACATGTTTATGTTATTAAAAGGAAGAACGGAGACGACAACCTTAAAGGAACTGAATTCAGAATTTTAAGTAACACTCCATTACCCGATTCACAACGATACCCTTTGAAGCATTGTCTGCAGTTAATTAAGAATGAATTAGATATCAATGTTGAAAATTTTGAAAAATGTTATTTTTAAAAATTGCTTTCTACTAAAAACGACAATATCTTCAAAATTATTTATTAGTTAAAAATTTCCAGGGCTAGGTTGAGAATCTTTCATTGCCATCTGTGCATAGATTACGCTTACAGTCCCTTTAATAACGTTTTCTGGTAACTATAACTATATTTGTTCAGGTGACCCAGGTTCTGGATAATGTTACCCTAGATACAATGTATCTATTCATAACAAGTCCCATACTTTCTGATATTATGATATGGAGGTGATTTGAGTTCAGGAATAATCTTGGATAATCATATGATCATAATGATAAGTGAAACAATGATGATGATAATTTAATAATAATAATAATAATAATAATAATAAAGATAATAATAATAAGGATAATAATAAAATAACAAAAACAATAGTAATGATAATACCATTAAATAACTAAAATTATAATAAAAGTAACAGCAACACAAAGAAACTATTTTAGAATTATTGTTGCATGTGGCGCTCTCATTCCCGGCTTCTATTTTCTTCCAGCTTTAGGTGAAATGTAATAATAAAAAATTGAAAATATGGTTTATTAAAAAAAATTTACTAAAATCAGTTATATTGTTATCTGAAGATATATAATTAAGGTTTTAAACGTCTAGGATCCTCTAGAAACACAATTTTTAGCACTTCCACGTTTTGAGAACGCAATTCTGAAATATTAAAATCATATAAGATTCTTGTGTCGAAGCCTCTAGATTGTCAAAAATCGTTGAATGCTTTAAATGGACAATGAAGACTATCATTTCTAATCTCTATCTAGGCCCAGCAGGACCAGCAGCGGTGGGGTCAGCTGTAGGCAAAGCACTGGACACGGCTGTACAAGTTCGGCATGGCCTTCTCTAGTGAAACCAACAGCACTGGTCTGGCACGGACTGCTTTAGTAAGATCTGCTATGTTCAAGCAGCTGGCATGGTCTGGTCATTAATATTGGATAGTGAGTTTTTCTGTACTTAAAAGGCCATTTACGCCCATTTCTGAACCAAAATGATACACAAAATCTAAATTTTCATGTATAAAGTCAATTTCTAATTTGACCTTCTCTATTTAATGTATTATTGATTTTATGTACTTTTAATGTACGTTTAAAGTATTTAATCATTTTTTATAAATTAGTTAAATTTTACCTCATTCATTCAAATGCAGACATGTTATGTATTAAACAAAAATAAAAAAATGTAAATGTAAAGAAAGACATTTTTTGTAGTCTGGGTTGGGTGCACTACTAATTCCACAGATGATGACTGACTGACAGACTGACATATCAGATGGAAATATTATTTTAGAATGAACAAAATTAGATACATTTACGGTATTCTTTAAGACAAGAAAATGTATGGGTCTCCGATAAAAATCTGATGGCTTATATACTGTGAGATGGCAGTGGGGGTCTCCAGAGTTGAAGATTACATACAGTTCTTCGTCATACTTTTTATTTTTGCACTTTACTGCAAAATAAAAGCACAAACTTCAACAAATATTACAAATATTTCATTCTGCAACAAATATTAAACATTGCCAACATTGACAATGGCAAATTAGTTGTCGTGTGGTGAAAAAAAACTTGCAATACTAATTTTATTTGCATTCTTTGCATTGTCATGCTAACACTAACAGTGTAGATACGACTGGAATGGCGACTTTAAGTTCTTAATTAACGACTAAAATATTTACTCATTTGGGATACGACCTAGAAATATAGTCTTTCTATGTGGTTTATTTATTGATTTTGAAAAACAAACTGAGACATGTAAAGCTGCCGGAGCCTAAGTCGGTTCCTTTAAACACCACAATGGTCGACCAGATGACGTCCCCTGCAAGTATCTTCTATCAGATAAGAATCTTACACGAGCCATCTAGTGGCCAAAAAACCGCCCCAAAAGTACAGTTGTCTCTGAAGTCTAGAACTTCCAATCGGAATTCTGCTGCGGAAATTTGTGCGGAATTACGTAAAATTGCAAGAAATTTTAGGGCTTGCAATTGAGCGCAAGAAAAATCCACTTGCCTTGGAAATGGAAACCATACTGAAGTCTCATCCTTTAAATTTGCATATTTTCAATTTTTCTTAAATTTTTAGCAAATTTTGCAATGGTTCTTGCATATTTGCTGGGGTTAGAACGCTTTAAAAATTTTTTTGCACACTTTGTGCCACATACAGCCGAAGGGCTTTCCATAAATTATGAAATGTCATTAGTATCTCTAGAAGGAACAGGGAGTGGTCAGGCAAATTTTGGGCAGAGGGGACTTAAGCAGAAAAATGGTTAAATGTCGTCATCCTTATCCACAGTTTTAGGGTCTTTCTGTAAAATCACTGAAACTGTGAAGATTACTTAAATATAACAATTTTAATCAGTTATAGCGATTTTATTTCATAACAAGTACAATACAATGGGGTTTAAAAATGTTACTTTGACATTTGTTTACAACATAAAATTATGCTTTTTAAAAGCAATTTTGATTGTGTTTGATTGTATCAATATGATACACGTACCTAATAAAGCGCAAGGACGTAAGGCAAACAAAAAATTGATCAATCAAAATTAAACCATCACATCAAATTAAAGGGAATAACCGGCAATGTATGGTAGTTGAACTGAGATTATTGGGACGTTTTTTTAAAATTCCTTTAAGAAATATCCCACTTTTTTACGGTGCATTTTTGTTCAGGAAGAGCGCAATTTCAATATTTAAAATCCTCATTGATTGTCCATTTTGGAGGGATGATTTTGAGAATCTGTTTAATAAAAATTATTCAAAAAGGACGAAAAAAATGTAATCAAATTTCTAAATTAAACTAATTAGATTTTTAGGAACATATTTTTCATNGTTTTCTAGATTATCTAGCGGAATTTGTAAAATTTCTGATCTATTACATAAAAAAAACAATGTAAATATTTTTAAACAAATTAATGTCAAAAAAATCTGAATTTACAATTTTCAGATGAGACTGTTTTTTAGCATACATTAATAAAATAACTTAGTTTTAAAATCTTAATTTTTATTTAACCCTATAAAAGCTGGGGGGTCCGAATCTATCATGGGGGGGGGCGTCTCTGTACCCTGTACCGTCTTTACCCTAGCCTATGCATCAAAAAAAATGTTACAAAAATTCCTTTAAATTACTTTTCGCATATTAGTTTTTAAAAAAATTCAAGGTGTAAGGTGATATTGTCAAAATTAAGAGTGCTGATGGCCTGTTTAGGGTTAAAATTAGTAATTGATAATTTATTTTTAAAAAATGACCCTACTTACTCAACAATATATAAACATATATATATATTATATACAACATGTAGAATTTATGACCTGGCATGAAATATCAGATTTTTGGAAGGAATATTCAGCATATATCACCAATTTTTGACAATCAACAATTTAATATTTTTGATAATATTACAAGCTTTAATTTTAATTTGATTTTACGAGCATTGAACATACATTTAAACCGGATGTTTTCTCTTCTGCAGAATAGAATTAGGCAAAACATTTGTTTTGATTTACTAGACACATATCGTTATATCAATTCAGGATGATGTTTTCTACTTGGGTGGATAATTGTACAGCTGATATACTTGTTGGCAGAACGGATTAGAGTTGATTTCCTTCTGTTTAGCACTGAAACAAAATAATTTATTTTTTGTAGATATTCAGTAGGACCCAGAAACTTGTGGAATAGAAAGACAGGTTTAAAATGTAATTTCCAATAGTGAACTTTTAATTGGTAAGCTAGCTGATTTTCAATCTACTGGAAAAATTATTTGTTCATAAACACACATCAAATACACAGGAGATCGATTAAAAGTCGTCTTCCTATTCCAAAGTTGTATGGGCCGAGCGTACTGCATAGGAGTAGTATTCCAACATATAGTATATCCCAATTATAATTGTAATTTTTTAAATAGTAAAAACAAGTAAAAACAAGTTAAAACTCCTAAAACAGACTTTTTACAGAAATTATTTCTTTGATATTTCAAACTATGAATTTTGTTAGATCGAAAAGTCTGAGTTTGAAATATCAAAGTTTTACATCATCAGATTTCAACGATATAGGAATTAGCAAATCTGAGTTTGTTATAGAAACCTTGCACCTTTACCTTACAAGCTTTGTACGCCAGTGGTCAGGTGAAAACTCTTTTCTATTTCTAAACAAAAGCAAACGTGGTTAAAGAACATATAATATAACATGTTGTCCAGATTTTTGTTTTTATGTTATATTATCGTGCGTCTATGCACCAACCACGCAGGGCTTTGAAACGTTAATTTGAATTTTTTTCATGAATTCAAAAATTACAAATTATGTGAAAAATGCTAATTAGATATTTTTTATGTTGTTTTATAATCCATCTTGCGCCACTAACAACTTAAAAAAACGAATTAATTTTTTTTCATGAATAAATCAAAAATACCCAAAGTCGCATATGAAAAACATGCTATCAAGATTTTTGTTTTCATGTTGAAATATCGTGCGTAGGGCTTTGAAAATTCAGATTACATTTTGTTAAGGATTTTAAAAATCAAAAAGTCGCAAATGAAAAACGGGATATCCAGATATTTTCGTATTGTATTATCGTGCGCCTACGCAAAATTCCGTTGGCATACAAAACACATCGTTTTGTTATTAGTGAACAAAAACCTGACGTAAACTGGAAACAAACTGATTAAAGGTACTGTATACGTAAACTGGAAACAAACTAATTAAAGGTACTGTATACGTAAACTGGAAACAAACAGATTAAAGGGACTGTATACGTAAACTGGAAACAAACTGATTAAAGGTACTGTATACGTAAACTGGAAACAAACTGATTAAAGGGACTGTATACGTAAACTGGAAACAAACTGATTAAAGGTACTGTATACGTAAACTGGAAACAAACTGATTAAAAGGACTGTATACGTAAACTGGAAACAAACTGATTAAAGGGACTGTATACGTAAACTGGAAACAAACTGATTAAAGGGGCTGTATACGTAAACTAGAAACAAACTTATTTAAGGGACTGTATACGTAAACTGGAAACAAACTGATTAAAAGGACTGTATACATAAATTGGAAACAAACTGATTAAGGGTACTGTATACGTAAACTGGAAACAAACTGATTAAAGGGACTGTAAACGTACTTTCCAGTGACCATCTGTTAATTGAGTCCAAATCACAATGTATGTAACCCTTAAAAGCTTGTTTCGGAAACGATATGGAAATATTTTTGTAAAAAAACCACGGTATATTCCACATCAATTAAATCTGTAAAGAATTCCGTTGGAAATGCTCCTCTTCAAATGAAATGTCACGTGAAACAACTACGACTGTCGACTTTAAGTCGTAATAACATCAAACGTGAATAACTTAAAAAAAGATAAGAAACATAAATATATTAATAAAAGCAAAAAACGATATAAAAATCAACCTGTAAGTGCTGAAATAATAGGATCTATCTTTTGGACTATAATTCCCTCCAGTCCCTCCAGATCCTCCAGTCCCTCCAGTCCCTCCAGTCCCTCCAGTCCCTCCAGATACTATTCCTTTCCCTGTCTTTAACTTATCTTCTCCAATCTTCTAGAAAAATTTATTTATTGCAGAAGGACAAATTCTGTAATTTAGAATCTATTGATTGCATATCATCGCTCGTCAAATAATAATCAAATTTACTAAAATTTCTAAAAATAAATCGTATGACGTCTGAAATATCAAATTTGTGCAAGATATATGAATAATTTGTTAAAATAGCCCCCCCCCATCCGGATCCCCCTCCCTTCCATATTAAGTTTATTAAGTTGTTAATATCTTATTTTTATATCGATATTTCTTAGGTTAACATTTAAGAATGTAAATATTAAAAGTTTGAAAGTTTTACAAGACAAAATTTAATAAAAAAAGTTTTGATTTTTTCCTCAATATATTTTATTTTCTAATATCTATATATTTTCAACCATTTAATTTAAACATTTGATTGGGTTATCCAAAGTTTTTAAACTATTTTTATGTTCATTTTAACTATGTTTATGTTCATTTTGACTATTTTTATGTTCATTTTAACTATTTTTTTTGTTAATTTAAAACATCATTTAACCCTATAAAGACTGAAGGGTCTGAATCTATGTATATACGGGGATGAATCTATGTATATACTAGAGAATAGGTATAGAGTTGAAATGCATGATCATAGCCCAATTTTTCAAGGCCAGCTCATTAAATAAAATTAGATCGACAACTTTTACAGTTTGGGTGCTAGGGAGCAAAAAAATTCACGGCGATAGTGTCAATAGTATATAGTAGCCTTACGCTGTAAGGACAACTTTGATTGAAGGATCAAGTATTGATCCTCAAATCTAATAGTACCCACATTGGATATCGAGATCAAGTACATTTTAGTTAATTTTAGTAAAGATGTGAAGACGGTTGATTACAATTATAAATCAGAACTGAGACTTCAAACAAAAACTAAACAAAAAGCAAGAACAGTTTGAAAAACTATTTTTTTAGAAAAGCTACCTGAGCAGTCGCCTGTCTTTTATTTTTACTGTTGAAGAGAGATTTAATTATTCCTTGAGATTCTAGATGATGTCTCCTTAAAAAAAGTTAATTTTTTTAGTTAAATTGGTTCCGTTTTATTACGTAGCTTGCGAAATGATTTGCTAAATTCGGATATTTGGCCTAAATGAAATAGCATTGAATCTACGATTTTGACTAAAAAGACATGGGGGGGGGGGCAAGGGATGGGATTATGCGTCCTTTGCACTTATTAATGTAGACAATGTGTTTTTAGTTGACTACATAGTACATAGTACATAGTCCTCATAATAGAAAGAATTTTTGTGTCATGCACCCTATTCTGAGACAAAAGTAGTTTCTCAAAATTTCAGCCTGTTGCCTATCATATTCTACAGGGTTACCCAGAAAAGATGAATTTTTAGAGACGCCTTTACGGAATTTGTAATGTCTGTTTCTTTATATTCATGATTCCCTGTAGCTTCACAAGGCAAAAGAGCAATGCCAATTATTTGGGAATTTTTGTGGGGACTCAGGAATATCTTTGGGCGGTAAGAGTGATTTAGTAGGATTTCTTCTCCCAAAAGTATTCTGATTTAATAATTTGAATTAATAAAGTTTGAAAAAGTGACAGCTTGTGCCCATAAAATGTGGATTAGTAAGTCGACTTTTGAGCAATCTGATGTTTATTTAATGCTGTTTTAAAGCAAATAGTTTTACCAGCTGCTTAAGAAAATCTATGTACTTAGTAGGTGAGACGGATTAATGTACATTGTACAATTGTTGTGTTTTGAACTTTTGGACAATTTAAAATAAAAACTTGAGACTAAAAGTTGTCTTCCTATTTCAGAATTGTTGTTTTATGTTCAACCTGAAGTTTTCCCTTTCCTTCATAGTTTCTGAAGAGTGAAGCTGAACAAACTGTTTAGATTCCTAAAAATAAAAAGTTTATTAAAAGGACTTGCAATGCCCAAATCACAAGGTAGCGTTAAAAGCTTTGTCTCATAGAGTATGCATATATATTAATTTTAATAATTGTGAAAACTAGTTATCTTCAATTGTGATTTATCTGATTAAATGGAATGACCGGCTATGTAAGGTAGTTGAACTGAGTATGCAGTGTTGTGGAAAACTTCTTTCGGATTCATTTGAAACATATTAAACTTTTTAAGATCTGTAAATCTGTTTCTTTGAATTTATTCGCAGATTTCTTCCAATTCTTCCGATGTCGTCTTTTCAAAGATAATTACATAAAATCTGCAGAAATTCTTTGTGAATAATGAGAAACCAGAATAACGAGAAAATAGTAACTAATAATTGAATAAGATTACATATATTCAATGATAAGATTGATTTTTATTTTCTCCACCGGTTCCCTAACACCTAATTAGTTTACTGGAGAGTTTTGTTTACATATTTATTTATTTCACTCTTCCAAAGTTATGGTATTCACTACATTCAGAAATGATATTTGACAAAAGCTTACAAACCTTTAAATTTAAGTTTTGATTTTTTACAAGCTTTTTTCGAATATCAAGCTTTCAAGTAATCAAAGAGAAACCTTTTTTAATTCTCTTTGTTTCAATGTTTATGTGTATCCAATATATTTTCTATTTAAAAGCTTGATATAAATCAAAATAGAATTGTTCTGAATACTGATATATTCGACGACGACTGTACATAAATATAAATAAGGTCAACACCTAAAATAATTATTTAAATACACTTAATTAAAATAAATCTTTTTTAAAAATTGAACCTGTGGAATTGTCATATGAAACCCTGTGAAGAGCCTTGATAGGACTGTCCAAGGGTCGGTTGCTATATCCTCATATCTAAATATTTTTCAACATTTAACATTTTTATAAACAGTGCAGTAAGTAGGGTTGTTTTTGAGGGATTTTCAGCCTTTTTGAACGGCTTCACAAAAATGTAAATAATTAATTTAACATTATTAACATTTGCTGTTCTAACACGCTGCAAATTTTGGCCTAGAAGAAAATGTAGTTAATTAATTTAACATTATTAACATTTGCTGTTCTAACACACTGCAAATATTGGCCTAGAAGAAAATGTAATTAATTAATTTAACATTATTAACATTTGCTGCTCTAACACACTGCAAAATATTGACCTAGAAGGAAATGTAATTAATTAATTTAACATTATCAACATTTGCTGCTCTAACACAGTGCAAAATATTGACCTAGAAGGAAATGTAATTAATAAATTTAACATTATTAACATTTGCTGCTCTAACACAATGCAAAATATTGACCTAGAAGGAAATGTAATTAATTAATTTAACATTATTAACATTTGCTGCTCTAACACACTGCAAATATTGACCTAGAAGAAAATGTATACAAAAAACAAAAATTGTTAAAACGAAGTAAACTTCAACAGAATACAATTTTAATAAGTTGAATTTTTTGTAAAATATTTTTTTTAAATAACAAAACCGATTAAAAACTTTAGAATAATGATTATTAAAGATATCATACCATTCTAATCATTTCTAAATATAAAAAAACATGAGAGCATCAACAACAATTTGCCGGATTATTAAAACGAGGAAAATTTTATTTAACACATAATAAGAATTTTGTTAACTAATAAGCAATTTTTAAATTATCTCAACAAAAGAATTGATTATTTGCCTCAGACTAAAAATGTCTTTGCAGCCTTTATATCTTTGTAGCCTGATCTTAGAAATTTTCAACATTTAATTTAGCTTTATCTAGTAAACATTTTAGTTTCAAATCTAAAATGTTTACACCGTCCCTTAAGGTCTAAAGAAAGTTACGAGTTTGTGGAAAGTGTTCAATTTCTTTATAAATGCCTTTTATTCTCTTTTCTTTGTTAAAAGAGGATAAAGAAAAGAAATGTATTTTGTAAAAAAAAAACATGATTACCTTACAATATGCAGATTTTGAACGAATTTTTTTACTACAGCTGAATCATTGAACATTCTAAATAATCATTTAAATAATTTGAAATTTGGTCGCTCCATCAATTTAGTTTTTTCAATTTTAATATTTTTAATGTTCTTCTTTATTTTAATGCAGAACTCTTTTTATGTTTAAAGATTTTTAATAATAAAGTTTTGAGCAATATAAACCTTTCATTTTTGATCCCATTAATAAAAAATTAGGATCTTTTATACGTACTTTCTATTTAATTCTCTTAATTTGACTAATGATGTACATTTTAATCAGTTAAGCATAAAATATTCGCCGTTCTTCATTTAATCAAAACTCACAGTATATATTCACAACATTTTTACTGTATATACTCTACTGAAAATTTCAAATCAATCTGGTTCTTTTTTTAACAATTTTTATTTATTTATTTTTTTATCTAAATTAACTTATCTAACAAATGGCATGTTAATGAACAACTGTACATTTAACAGCTTAGTTTGATCAAGAATGAATAAGATATCCAGGTTTTAACTTTGAAATTTAATTTCATTCAATTGTGGTTTCCAAATTCAATCATTAACCATAATTTTATAACGTTGATGATCTCAGTTTATTAAAAAACATGTTTTTTATTGCTTTCCAGCTTACCTAGAACAAATGTGATGCGGACTTTTCAATTTGTCCGGCCATTCCTTTCCGAAATCCTAAATTTTGATAATTTCTGACTTCAGATAATAATGGTCTTTAAGTTTTTATTAAAAGAAAACATTTATTTTAATCCAGAAGATTTTTTTTGTCTTCATTGAGTTTATCTATTTAAATAAAGTATTCTAAAAAATGTAAAATGCAAAAAAAATTTAGTAACAAAAGTTTCATTTAAAAAGGATAAAACACTTTTGAAGTAATATAGTTGAAACACTTTATTTAAAGGCTAAAGAATTTCCTTTTTGTTCCAGGAAAAGTAGTCTTTTGAAGTCCAAAACAATGGCCAATGTAGTAATTTTAAGTGAAACTCTACTTTAATTTGACATGTCTGATGTTATCTTGTTTTTCTTTAAGAAATAATTATCACAATAATTGATTTCTTCGAATCAGTGGCGATGGAGGAAAAAACAAAGATATCTTCAACGTTATTGCTCAAAAAAACGCTATTGCTCAAACAAAGGTTTACCTGAATAGAGTTTATGACCCCACGTGGGTCTCGAACCAAGTAAACTATATGAGTATTATTTCTGAAAGAAATAACAATTAATTAAAACCTGATTTTAATGTTTTTTGTGCCAAAGTTAAAAATGTACACTCTTAGAAATATCTAAATTTCAATTAAAAATGTATATAACTTAGTTCATAGTAGGTCGATTTTTAAAATGTTGATGAATGATAAATTGTATGCAACAAAGATAAAGTTAATGCTAAGTTGAATTTGGCTCCAGTGCTCCAACAATTTTTTTAATAAAAGCTTGACATTTCTTAGAGTGTATTGGAGAATTCAAAACAGTTAACAAAGGAATTGAGTCTTTGTCACAAGCTCAAATATTCTAATCCCTATATCTTAACAACTAGATGGAGTAAACCTTTGATATTTAAAACTTTGAGTATTTGATTTACCAGAAATCATAGTTTGAAATATCTAAGGTCTACAACATTGGGCTACAAAGATATGGGGATTAGAAAATCTGATTTTGGGCCTGAGACTCAATTCCTTTATTTACTTTAAAATGTTATATGTTGTTGGGTTGATTTTTGGAGAACATATTATTAGATTGTAAAATGTAAATGGGAATTTGTTTCATGATAATTTTTCCGTCCAGTATTTAAAGAGACATAAGACATAATATTAAGAGACCCTTCATTAAAAGAGAGGCGTGTCCTATTCAAACCATTATCTGATAAATATTTTCTACAAAACTTTTTTATGTTACTCAGAAAGGTGTAAAGTATTTAAGGGTACCATTTTGAATAGAACAGATCACACAATAATTGCAGGATTACATTAAATTACGTCTAAAGACACGAACACTTATTGCAATTTGAAATAATCAAATCAAAAAAGATTAAGGGGCCTGCTGACATGATTTCAAATTACCGTCCATTTCTAGATGGGCTTGTTCAATTGACAAC